TACTATAATTTCATTAAAATGATGAATTAAACGTCCCCAGGGTTCTGAGGCTACTGATTTATTGATATAAACTTCTAAAAGGGGAAAAAGGTCACTAAACTTTTAAAAGGGAATATGGTTTTGAATTCAATGATACCTTTCAAGCGCAAAACTTTCAAAAGGTTTATAAGAGCAAAAAGGTGGGGCAGGAATAGCAACTCACTTTTACACACAAAAGAAAATGAGCAAGCTAATAAAACACTCAAAATAAAATCCAAGGGGAGATGGAAGGAGGAGGGAGTCAAAAGCTCTGGCCTGTACCCAAGTTCTTGCATACATACATAAATAAATCTTATCTTAAAAAAAAAAAAAAAAAAGTGCCGCTCTGTCCTATCTATTTCTACTGGAAAGTAAGTATAGACCAATTAGAACATGTAAATCTAATACAGCAAGCCATATTAGAAATATTTAGTGCAGGGTCTCCCTGCTGGTATAGGTCAAGCTCTCACTAGTCACTGCAGCACAAGGTGGCTCCCAGGCCAGGGAGGTGACCCGCATGGCACCGCAGACCTCTCCTGACCCGCCCGCTGCTTCCCTCAGCAGTGTATTTCAGTCCTTCTGCCTGTTCTGTTCCCCTCTCTGTCTCTGGTACATTTTCTACCCCTTCAACCCTCAACACTAGCCTATACCCCAGCTCTTTTATGCATAAAAAAATAAATCTTTAAGAAAAGAAATATTTAGTGCATTTCTAGTTCCCTTTTCTCTCAACCTGCCAGAATTCCTGATAAGACCCTACATTCTGGCCACACAGGCTTGCTGCCTTGCCGATTATGGAGACTCTGCAACCATCACACAGTCTGGGGGCTGCTCGATGAGCCCTTCCACCATGAGTCTCAATGCAGTTCGAGCCCAATGCCAGAGCTCAGACTGTTTCATATAGTAAAAGACAGCTAAAACATAAATCATAAAAACCTTCCATCTCCCTTTCTGCCCCAAAGAACATGGAGAAGCTCTTTTCTCTATGATGCTGTAACAAAAAAAAATATATTGAATGCAAGTCTAGAGTGACAGCATTTGAGCCACAGCCCAGCCAACACATGGTTAAGAATACCTTCTTGCCAGGAGAGCTTGCTCTTCCCCACTGTGGTGAGTTGTTTACAAAAACAGCCCCTATGGTTGAGTGACAGCCTCTGCAAGGGGACTTTGGACTTTGTTGTTCCCACCATCAGAAGGAGGAGTGTGTTTTCCGCAGAATCTTGTTTTGCCCACATGACTGTTGCCAAAGGGACATTAGCAAGTGTGACGCCAGCAGAGGCGTGAGAAGTGTCTGCACAGGAGCATGCCCTCTCTTGCTCCCAGGAACTCTTCCACGTCACGTGAGCAGGCCTGGGCAAGCCTCCAAGAGGGTAAGAAAGTGCAGTCACCCCAGACCACCCAGTCTCAACATGTCAGGCCACATCAGAATTGCCAGCTGACCCATGGAACTGTGGACAAACACAACTGTGGTTGTTTTAAGCTACTAAGTTTTGGGTAATTTGTCACATTAGTAAAAGTAAACCAATAAATTCTATGCTCCATTTCTTGAACTCTGGCTTTATTCATGGATTGAAGGAGTATGAAGAATTGATCACAAGCAGAAATGTGAAAATTTTTCAGAAGAAAAATTTCAAGAAGTTCCTTTAGGAACTTAACATAGTGTTTTTCAAACTGTTCCACATTTTCAGAATAACTTTCAGAAATCTAACTCAAGGAAACACATACAGAATGGTCCTGAGTTTTTAGCTATGGATGACCTCTGTGGCATTATTTGTAATAATAAGAAAGTAGAAGAAACCTAGGTATCAATAATTAGGGAAAATAATAGTAAAGTGTGGTTTACAACAAAACAAAAAAGCAAATATTTACATGTTTTTCAAACAAGCTGTTCTGTTAACCACCTTTTAGCTTTCATTTGCCACAATAAGTTTCAGCAGCCAAGAATCTGCCTTTTAATCTGAAGTCATTTACCTACTGTACCAGGAATTTCTGTCACATATGAAATTTTTCCCAGAGTCACAGGTATGCAGCAAGTGACTGGTTTAGATTGCCAGAGTCTTCAGTAGTGCACTTCTGTCAATCTGCCTGTTCTGCTCCCCACTCTGTCTCCAGTGAATCCTCTCACTGCCCCCTGCCCCACTCCTCTGGCCTGTACCTCAGTTATTGTATGCACAAATAAATAAATCGTTTAAAAAATTGTCTTAAGTATGTAAAAAACTCACCTTTCCCCCCGAGCATCATAGATTTTAAAAATGTATCACTCCAGTATAACTCATGATAGTCAAAAAGTAGAAACAACCCAAATACTCCTCCACTCATGTTTCCATAAATGTGAAGGTATAAAAACCCCTCACTGAATTAAACGATTTAAGCTGCTGAATTGATATTTAAATAGGTGAATGGTATATGGATTACATTTCAATAAAACTTTGGAAAAACACCCAGAAAAATACAAAAATCTATCTATCATCCAATGTTTTATGGTGTGAAGTGTAATTAGTCCTTATTGTAATGCTACATAAACATATATATGTTACATGTATATTTTTATATATATTTTATATATATATATCCTTTTTGGAGATTTTTTTACTTATTGTAGACTAAGTCTCTCAAATCCATAAAATTTCAATTTATTTGGATCTGCCCTAACACCCACTAGAGGGTAATAAACCAACAAACCAAGAGTCCCTGGCTAATACCTCAAGGTGTTTCTGGTAAAAGGTAATGGATCTAGAAAATGTGTGCTCTTTTACACAGAAAAGAACAAAATGAAAATGCTTCTCAAAAGTGGGTTCCATGGTGTAATGGTTAGCACTCTGGAGTCTGAAATGCTTTTCAAGGTCCTTTAAAGAGTGTGCATGCATGTGCATGTAGCTGGGTTGGGAGTTTGGGGGCTGCCCTATGAGTTTAAGGTGTAATCTGCTGGTTTGTGGGGAGACCGCTGACAAGGCTTCTCAGATCAGACATCTCATCTCCTAAAATTTCCTAGAATTACTTCTCTTCCTCAGTGTTAACTGTTTTGTGTACATGTCTTGTCTCTCATCTAGACTACAAGCAACAAGAGGTAGGCAGCTCTGTCATTTCCATTTTTTCTCTCTCAAAATTTACCAAAGCTCAATATAACCAGCAGGTGATTAAGAAAATAAAGGGATAATTAAGGGATAAGAGGCATGAAGCTTTCTCCCCATTATTAAAAAAAAATGTATTGATGAGTTTCCCTAATAGGTATAAAAGATTAATTTCACAGAAATAGAAAAACAATCCTAAAATTTACGTGGAGCCAAAAGGACCTGAATAGCAAAGTAATTTATGTGACCAAAAGAGAACAAAAAAAAGGGGGTATCATATGCCCAACTTCAAAACTATATTATAAATCTATAATCATCAAGGCTATGTGCTATTAGACTAAAAATAGACATGGAGATCAATGGAATAATATGAGAACCCAGAAATAAATCCACACATAGATGGACAGTTAGCCTATGACAAAGGAACCAAGAGTATACAGTGGGAAAGTCTCTTCAGTCAAGAGAACCACATACAAAAGAATAAAACAACTGCCTTTCTGACAAGGGCAATAACATATGTAAGAATGCATATAACTCAACAACAGCAAAAAACAATTTACAAGTGAGTAGATGATCTGAATAAATACTTTTTCAAAAAAGACACACAGATGTGAAAAGGCACATGAAAAGATGTTCAAATGTAGATCAAAACCACAAATAGCTATCATCTTACCTCTGAGAAGGGCTGATATAATAAAGATAAGAAACAACACGTGTTGCCAAAGATACTGAGAGAAATGAACTCTTATACACCCTTAGTGGGAATGTAAACTGGTGCAGCCATAAGGGAAATAGTAAGGCAATTCCTAAAAAAGATAAGATTAGAAATGCCCTATTTTTTATTTAATCTAGCTATTCCACTTGCAAGTATTTAATCAAAGAATATGAAAACACTAATTAAAAAAAAATCTGCAGGCCCTTCCTGGTGGCGCAGCGGGTTAAAGCACAGCGCAAAGAAGCTAAAGCCACTTCTTCATGAGTTCGATCCCCGCCTGCCTCGGTCTGTGCGGCAGACCTCTCCTGACCCAGACTGTTCTGCTCCCCACTGCCTCTGGTGGATCCTCTCACTGCCCCTGCACCTCTGACCTGTACCCCAGGTCTGTGTGCATAAATCAATAAATCATTTTTTTAAAAAAATCCGCACGACTATGGTCATTACAACACTATCTACAATAGTCAAGATATGGAAACAACCTACAGGCCCATCAATGGACGAGTGCATAGAGAAGACGCGGTACTTGCACACAGCGGAGTATACACACCTACAAAAGAAATATGAGATTTTGCCATTTGTGGCAGACAAAGGGATAGACTCAACAGGTTAGTTATGTTTAAGGAAATAAGCCAGAGAAAGACAAATACATTATGATTTCACTCCTGTGTGGAATATAAAGGGATGAAACAAATGATCAATGAAATACATGGAACTCTTAAATTGTAAAAACAGAGTGGCTACCTGAAGGGGAAGAGGAAGCATACGGTGGTGGACATTTGGTGCACAAATACACATGTTATAATGCTGAAACCTACCAGGTTTTAAACAATCTTACTTCAATAAGTTTTTACAAAAAGATGAGTTGATTTAGGGAAAAACCTGTATACCTTCAGCTTCTACGAGTATCTATGTAACTGTACAGTGGACATGTGGTAGGCTTGTTTCTTCTGTGGAGTTAAAAAAAAAAAAGGACTCAAAAGAAATTGCACTAGGAACAATCCCCTTACCTCATAATGAATCCAAACTGGACCAGAATTTCAGTGAAACACACAAACAAACCTGAGTCAGAAATGGAACAGCTTATACAAAACCTTCTCATGCCTACGGGCTCAGCCTGTGCATAATACCCACGAGCAGAGAGACTCAGCCAGTGCAAGGGCAGCTCTGAGCCCAGGCAAACAGCAGAAGAGGAGGCTCACCTCAGGAATCAGTCGCCTCCGCTTCACGCTGGGGACCGAGTCGGCCTGGCTGTCGCTGCTCGGCTGCTTTCGCTTGCTGGAGTCATGAAGGGCAGTGAACACAGTGTCCAAAGGGTGTTTCTCAGACCTGGAGTTCACCGAGCAATCCAGGGCAGCATCTTCAGCCTCCGTCTCCACTTTCACAATGTTATTTTTTAGAACTGTAACAGAGAAGAAATAGGGCTCAGTGGGCGGCTCACAGATTAGCAGGATTCCCTGAGCAACAGGTTGCTTATGGAACACTCTGACAGTACTAAGATAATAATGTCCAGTCACAATAAAACTGGGCTTTCCAAAGCAATTTTTAATCGCACTACACTAGTGGCATACAATAAAAGTACGTTCCCAGAACATTTATTTCAAAAGTGGTAAAAGTCTTCTATATGGGGTGTAGAGGAAGAGGAGATAAAGGGAAAGAAACAAATATTTTATCTTTTAAAAAATAAGTCTGGAAAGATACATACAATATTTACAACAGTTATGTGGTTAGAGGGGGATGGGACCCAGGGACGAAAAAGATTATTTTCCATTATATTTCTTTTTATATTTTTGAACCAAATGATTGTATCAATTCATATATTTGAAAAACATTTTTAAAGGTTTTTTTTTCTTTACCTTCTTCTATATCTTCACTGAAATCAGTTGAGTTCATCTTCTGTTCCACTAAATGAAAAGACAAAGATAGTCTCGATTTATTTCTTAAATTTCTCTACCCATGAGAAATTCCTTCGCCTTCCCCACCCTGGTTCTGGTTAATAGAAGGTTAAATCGACACTGCTCTGCAACATCATGGAAAATCACATCCTCTTATTCTTGTTTGCAGTTGCTCAGAAACAGCCAGGCCTTCGGTGCACCTGCTGGGTATACTTTTCCAAGGCTTTATGTGGGCAGAGCGCATCTTAAAGCACTGATGGAGAGAGCCACTTACTGAGCGAGGGAAATGCTATTTGAGAAAATCAAAAACCCCAGTTTGGGTAATGTCCTGTTAAGTCCATGCTTTATAAACCTCACAGCCACAAAATGAAAAGGTTAGCTGAGGATGAAAGCTGTGGATCCTTAGGACTCCAGGTGGGTGAGTAAGAAATGTGCTTCCCATGTGGATAGCTTCTCCTAACAAGTGGATAGTGAGAACTTGCAATGTGGCTACTCCAAATGCAGACATGCTATACGGGTAGATAAAGGACAGAAAACACCTCAGTACTTTTTATGCTGCTTACATACTGAACTCTTCAGCTATATAGGGCCCAGTAAAATTTTAAAGTCGTTTTTACCTTTTAAAAGATGTGGCTCCTAGAAAAATTAATTACATATGTGGTTTGCATCCTATTTTTGTTGGATGGTGCTGGCTTAGTTCCTCTTTCAGAAGCAACAAGGAGAAAGAGGCACAGTGGGCTTTTTAAGCTCTCAAACTCCACAAGATCGGATCCAAAGACCTCGTTTCCCTGACATTACCCAAACTGGGGTTTTGGAGAAACTTGATTTTCTCAAAGGAATCAGGGGAGAAGTAGTAGTGGCCGGTGAGGAGGGAGACCTAGCCCCCACTGCTCCCATCAACCCAGCCAGAATGGCCCTGACACGACGTGCCCGTGCAGGTGTCCGGCGTAAGTGGGAGGCGACAGGAGAGAAGAGCACAGAGGCCCGCACTGCCGGCACCGTTGCCACAACGGCTGAACTGCCTGCAGTTGCAGAGCTCCTACTTTAAAGATCAGAGTACATGAGAACCAGGATTAGCTCTTTTGAAATGTATTTTTTTAAAAAGATTTATTTATTTATGCATACAAGAACTGCAGTGTAGGCCAGAGGTGTGGGGCAAGTGAGAGGATTCACCAGAGACTGAGTTGGGAGCAATGGACAAGACAGGAGAGGTCTCCTGCGCCATGTTGGTCACCTCCCTGGCCGGCCTGGGATCCTGGGATCCAACTCGGGCAGCAGTGGCTGGCCATGGCTTGCCAGAGCTGTCATTAACCCCTGCGCCACCAGGGAGGCCCTAGAAATATTTATAAGGAAGAGAGAAGTTACCTATTCGTCATTTATCGAATAGCCATGGAGCATCAATAGGTATGGTGCCAGCTTTAGACAGGTGAATAATGGGGGGAGGCAGCTAGAGCTGCTGTCGAGGTGACCTGTACGCATGATAAAAAATTCACCTATCCCACGGGAATTACAACTGAGATGGGAAAATGCACAAAATGATGAAAATTTAAACTATTAAAAAAAGATTCACCTACCACACTTGCATCACGTTTGTGATGCGATGCGCTAATTTCAGTATGTCACAGTAGCTTAAAGACAGAAACAATTCCTTCCATTCCTGAATTGTTAGTTTTCAGAGTGAGTAAGGCTGGAAAGTTAAATGGCACTGAAAATAATTCCTACTGAGCAAACAATCTCCTATCAGAAAGGCATAGCTCACACATGGCGATACTGAGGGAAAACATACAAGTCAACTTTAAGGGGCCAATGGAATATTCTACCAGAGGTAGATTTTAGCAAAATAAGTTCCACTGTATTCCGAGGCTCAAACCTCGCCTTGGCTAGCACCATCTGACCCGGGAAGAGGCATGGGCACTTGGGGGCTTCAGCACACCCTCCTTTCTGACAGAAGGGCTGACCTTCCCGAACCCTGGTTCCTGGTCTAGTCAGGGGTCTTTCAAGCCTCCTCAGGCTTCCCCCGGATCGCCAAAGCTTGCCAACTGTCCTGGAGGACCCTGCCACATATAAACTAGCCCCTTACATCAAGGGCAAAGGTGAGATGCAGCAGCCTAAAAGGGGGTAAACAAATAAAGGGCTGTGTGTGTAGTGCAAAGACACATTCTAGAGAGAGGTAGGAAAGGAAAAAGACAGTGGATGGTTTATTTGAAGGAAAAAAACATCATGATAGGATAAAAAGAAAACCCAAAGATCCTGGTTAAGCAGAAGGCATTAGAAGGATGAGCAAACACGAGAAGAAAACAGGGGTTGATGAAAACAGCAGACAGAACCACAAGCGCTGAGCAAAGACTGGATGGTTATCTAACATCACGTTAGCCACCCAACCATAATTCTCTGGGGGGCCGCCATATAATGAGCAGCAGGGAGCGCAGAAGGCAGGCGCTGAATCCACCAAGGCTGACAGCCAGGGCCTGTGGTCAAGTGCTGGGTGTAGTCACGGCTGGGAATGTGACTTGGTGAGCGGGAAGCATATTTTCTGAACTGCCACCATGTGACATTACAGCAGGCAATTTTGCACCTGAATTCCAGACACCCCCATGATTCTCATGTCAAAAATGGATGACAGGCACACACCTGAGCCACCTGCAGGTGGGAGGAAAGGCAGAGGGACAGCTGGGGAGGCTCACTGGAGTGAGGTGGGAGGAAGGAGCGACCAACTTCCTGGGCACTGAGGATGCCCAGCGTGCATCTGCTTTGGAAAACATGTCCATATTCAGTTATAGACTAGTGACAGATGCTAGATGAGCACAGAAGTAACCCAGAACACAGCATGGTGGGCCCTTCCCCCCCAGCCAGCAGGCTCACTGAGAAGGCGGGGGATTTCCCATTAGCGAAGTCTGGAAAACCCACAACTGCATCTGGCTTAATGGTGGAGAGTGAGATGAGGGTCCTCGCTTACATCTGTAGCCATGCATGTGTGCCAGGTGCCAAGATGGCCACTTCATGTCCCCCTCCCTCTTATCCTCAGCTATTTTATACCAAATTTACCAAAAGAAAGCAAGGTATAAACTTGAATATGTGCAATTTTCTCAATTATACTCATATGTTGCTGGAAAAAAAAATGTTTTTCTAATAGTTTGATTAAGGAAATAAAAATATCTGAATATTAGAAGGAAAAAAGGAGAGAAGGGAGGGCAGGGTCTTTGCCCATTGCCACAGAGCTACTCAGAAGCAGATCTAGGATTCAAACAGTCTGTCTGTAGCTCCCATCAGCTGCCTGAGAGACGAAACACATTCTTCGGTTAAAGTTCTCAAGATACAGGTGCCCGTTTCCAGCCGTGGATCTCCCGGTCCAACAGCAGCTGGAACAACCACATCTCCTTTCATCTCCATGCAGTTACCTGGAAAACCAGTCTGCTTTCTGCTCATAAATAGACTCCACCCACAGTACAGAAGTTTCTAGGAGAGAGATGACTGGGTCACTCCCTAGAACCCCCAAGGTAGCGGGGGGATGGGTATCATGCTGTTATCTCCACTTCCTGGTTCTCTGCCCAGATGAAGATCACAGGGTTCCGATCCTGGTGGACACTGAGCGCGGGCCTGCTGCGCATGCCTCAGAAATTCCTTTCACTTACGTAACTACAGGCTCCGGAGGAGCTCCTGCCTGCACCCTGCTCTGGGCTGCTAGGATTACAATCTCCTTTCCCTGGTGGTGTATGTAGAATTTCTCATTTTAACCTCCTCCCCCTTTCGAACTCTGCTTATTCCTCCCACCACTTATCTCAAATTGGGCTTTCACCTGTCCCTAAAAAAAAAATCAGCTCTCTCAAGAGGTGGTCCTTCCAGTCTCTCAGATCCCCCTCCTCCACAACCCAAAAGAAGACTTAAATGAATTAAGGGGTGTCTGTCAATAAGATCTGTGGAGCATGCAATGAAACCGCAGGGTAACTCTCAGACAGGACCAATCTCCAGTGGCTCCCTAATAATAAGTAAAAATGTTCATTATATATATATATATATTTTTTGTTTGTTTGTTTTTAACAAAATAGCCTAGGATGCCTCAGGCAAAGTGACTGTCACTAGTACAGAAAGGTTTTAAATGTTGCAGAGTTTGCAGGAGTATATATAATTTTATTTAAATGCATACCAATATTCTTCTGCCTAGCGGGAGATGGGAAATGTTCAGTTTTCCACGCAGGGCACATAGGTGAAGGAAGATCAGAATGTCATCAAAAAAGCCTTCAATTTGCAAAATGTACAGAAGGGAGGACAATTTTAAATTTTCAGAAATAACAAGGTGCTCCAGCCCCTCACATACCATGTTACAAAGGGTGAGGTGCTTAAATTGGCTTCATAAACGCAAAGAGCAGCAGAGCTGGGGCTCCCTCTACACCTCATGCTGAAGCAGGGCTGCACCTGGCCGAGGCAGGAGGAGATAGATGCTGCTGAAGGAAGAAAGCCCGTGAAGACAAGGGGCAGCCGAGCACGAGCAGGGGGAGCCACCCACTGGCACTCAGAAAGAGCCAGCGCCGAGACGGCACGCAGAAATGAAAAGGCTGGACAGCTTAACAAATTACGGTTCAGTTTATAATTTGGGAAGGTGCTAAAATGTTTTATTTTCTTTTGACTAGTAGTGCATGTACATGAAACAAAATCAAAAGGCGTAAAAGGATGCGTGGTTAAAAAGCCCATGGGCCTCAAGCCACCACCTTCCTCTCTTGAAGGCAAGCGAGTTGCTCTTGTATGTCAGAGATTCTGTGCCAGTGGTTCTCAGAGTGAGATTCTCCGCTCACTGGTGTGCCATGCTGGTTTCTAGGGGGCTTGAATGGACCGTGTCTCTCCAGTTCTTGGAACTGGCCTGGGAGCATTTATACCACAGCAAATGATACTCGGGAGAACTTTTTTTTCTTGATGGAGCCAGTGTACCATGACCCTTCCCGGGGGTCCTGAGAGCACAAGTGCTTTGATAGCGCCACCAGCTGTTACTGCGCTTTCCTCCCT